CAGGCTATGTCTACACTGGTAATTAAAAGGGTCCAGAATCCATTCTCTGATCCTGAATGACAGCTGTCACAGCTCTTGACTGCATAACTGAACTTTCTCATCCCTTCAACCAGAATGTCCTTATTTGAAATAATCTTGGACCATGCTACTCTTCAGAGTGTGCCTGAGCATGGCCTGGGACACATCCAGTGGGGTCAGGCCACAACATAACATATTCAAGCTATAGGGACAATGACAAATGCATCCTAGGCAGTCCTCAAGTCCATGGTAGGACCGATACAGGTTAAAGGACCTCTGCAATGCATGACCTGTGGATATCCATCCCTCTGGAGTACAGTCCAGAACCATGTGTTGGACATTTTGCATGTCTTCTTCAAATGCATGGGGGATCTACATTCCCAGGGCTGACCAAACACAGCTGGTGAGGTGATGCCTGAAAGAAGGGATTGTCCTCAACCCTGCAGCTAGAAAAAGAGGAACCTGCAGATGTAGAGTCCATGTCCCAGAACTCCCCTTTTTTCTCTTAGAGCACTGAGCAGAGCTCACTTCTTTTTCTAAAAATACAGCGGGTGTGGAGGATTTCCTCCCATGTGCAGAAGTGCACCAGATTTAACCTAGATGTTAATGTGCTCAAGACAGAATTTGGGAGATGTGAATACAATTTCCTTCTCAGCTTGGAGAGACTCAATTTCCCATCTCACATCTTCAGACAGGGTGTGCAAACCACCAAAACGGAGCACAGGCATGGGAATGAAGGGGTAAGAGATCTTTACAGATTAACTGAATTAGCACTGGGACTTTGGATTTCTCTTTGATTCTCCCCTACGTGGAGACATGTGTGTTTTGTATCAAACCACACCTGAAAGAAAGACCTGAAGAACTCCTAGGGGTAGGGTGCTCAACAAGTCATGCTCACACTTTCACCCTTCTCCAGCCTAATGACACCTGCATTCCTTCCTGCCCAGTGGCAGAGTTTCATCAGTAGGGTGGAGAGCAACTCCACCCGAACAAGCCTATAGTCTTGTTATTAGTGCACACCCGTGAGAGGTGGAAGCTTCGATTAGCTGAACACATCATCAAGCATCACTGCAGCCGTGGTCATGGGGAGCATGGTTTCCCGCTACTGAGTCACAGACAGAGACAGTAGAGCCCACAGACACAGTCATCCAAATAGTCCCCAGCAAAAATCTACCCGTCCTGAATCACCGGAGCTGAACTCAAGTTGGCTCCATACACTGATCAGTAGCCTCTCTACTTTCCTATACTCCAGCCACCACTATCATAACTGGAAACCTGATAGCAGACTCCGTCCTGCGAAACAGCTCCCGAGAAAGACATTGACACCAGACAGACTGATGCCGTGGCCGCAGTGTCAGATACTGTTGTTTGATGCTCATCTCATGACAGAAGGATCTATTCTTCTTACACCTGGGACTGGAGTGGCTCTTACTTCAAGACAACATCTAGTTCTGGGTTGGGCACTGCAGGACAGAAGGTGATAAAACTGAGGTGGTTCAGAGAAGGATTAAAGCCCTGTAGGACAGACCTTTCAGAGAAGGAGTCAAAGAGCCCACCAAATCATATGAAAGGGATATCCTAGATGAAATGCATCTCAATAGAGGGGAGGAAAATTGCAACAGTGAGCAATTAAGTTTAGTAGAGGGGTGTAACGAGAGCCACTGGCTGTAGGAGCTGTATAAATCAGAGTAGAAATATTTTATACAGGGGTAATTTTACAGGTGGCTGATAAGCAACCACTGGAACAGCTTATCAAAGCTTGGTGTACACTCATTGTCACAGGACATGTCTACAAAATTTGGTTTCTTTTTCATTCAAACAAGAATTAACTGTAACAGAAGTTAGATGAGGTAGTTATAAAGCACATCATCTTCTTGCTTGTGAACACTGAATTTACCTGCCTTTCCCTGCATATGTGATAAAAAGAGAGAGATTATATCTACCTGCATTACCTTGTAAATAAGGACAGTCTTACAGGTACAGACTGGTAGTGGGTTTAGATTGATACCACTGAAAATGTGGAGATGCTTTTGGCACACAAGTCTTTCCCCCTACACACAATGCCTCATCTATATTCTCACATCTTCAGACCCAAAATGACATTTCAACTACAGTCCCTTATGCCTCCTGTCAGTCAGTGTTCAAAACCATGCTCAGGGTTTATTCCACCACTGACAAAGACAGATGGGAATTTAAGTCCTCCTGAGTCCTACAAGCTGTCTAAGACTGTCCTAACCACTCTATCAAACCACTTCTTTCACATATTTATCAAGCTCCATCTTAAAGCAGGTGGGATTTCTGCCCTGCCTTTGTTTTTAGAAAGAACCCAATTTTTCCCAGTGTTTAAGACCCTACTTCTGATTGCCAACCTCATTTAACTCATGCTAGTCTTAATTCAGATCTAGTCCAGTGTGATCTTTTAGCTTACAGAGCTTTTCTTTCTGTAGCACTGTTTTCAATGCATGCAGTATATTTCTGGGGAAAAAAAAATCATATCTCCACTCAACCTTTGTTATGTCGAGTTAAAAAGAGCCGGTGTTTTACAATGTCATCTTTTGGGGTGGATCCTGTTCTCCCAGTTTTCCCATTAGTTTTCATCTGCCTTTTTTTTTTTTTTTTTTTTTTTTTTTTCTCCATTAGGACCCTATTTTTTCTTGACAAGGGCAACAAAATACAAGGTGAGAAGCCACCAGGGCTTCATGCCAGAGTGCTAGCACTTCCACAATGACCCTGTTATCAGCCTCCCTTACACTCCAACACAGAGCTTGACATCACCTGTGTTTGTTTGTGTTTGGGTTTGGGTTTGTTTTCAGAGCTTTATCTCACCGGAGGCTCCTCGTTATCTTTAGATAATACCTGTAGGTCTTCCCTTTCCTCCACAATTTTACTGGCATGTTCCCAACTTCTCTCTCTGAAGTCTGGCCCTCCTGCATGCTCAGCAAATCTGCAGGAGCTTTAACAGCCCCAGCTCTGGTTGTTTCCCCATGCTCTGCCTTACAGCCAGGTCTCAAACCTTTTCAAGCTATTAAACAGAGTTAAGTGGCTTTGCACTGGCCAGAGACAAACAATCCTACTGTGCTGATGCATGCTATGTCCAGAAACCACAGTGATGGACAGCCTCCTCCAAGCTGGACAGACTCATTTAGTTTCCTATTTCTATCACTATTCCTTCAACCACACTGATTTATTCCACGGATTTCTCAGTATGTAATGACTTTCAAGTACAGGCAGACCATTACAACATGCCTGTGAGGACATCTCCATTTCAGCAAGCTACACACAATCTGCCAAGCAGCATTTTAGCGTTAACAACGCTGGAGTGCCAACCTTGCCATGCTTACCTATTGAGGCATAGCTACCTTGAATGCTTAAAGCACTGGATCTTTTCCAGTTTCATGGATGTTAATTAAGATATTGCTCAAATATGCCTTGAACTGCCCGGTTACAAGAAAGGATCTGGATATAACCAGGTCTGGTGGCTTTCACAGAGTGGAGTCTTTCCTATATACCCAGGGAGGTATGTTTGCACTGTTTTTCTTTACGTACCTGGTCTATGACAGCACAGCAAGATAAAATAAAGATAAAAGATGATTTTCACTCTCACAGCTAAGCAAGTGTTAGGGTTCATGTCTTTCCCTCTCTTTCCCACGTCACAGTACTGATCCCATTGCCCCAACTCAGCCAACTTTGTATCACCCGTGACTGTGGAAATTTTCATTAGCAATGTTTCTCAAGTTATTGAAACCCTTCAGGGATCAGCACTCACCCCAAAAGCCCCATTCTCAAACTGGGGAAAAGGACAGGCTGCTGAGAATGGTAGCAATGCCCACGTGCATCACTGCAAAGAGCCTGTGACAAGCAAACCCCCAGTCATTAAATCAGCTCATGCACTCAACTTGTTTCCATCCCTGAGGTCTCTGAGCGCTTCACAATGATTCACAAACTTTTCATCTTTGGCTTAGTCAGCTGTTGTATAATGCTGGGATTTTCCACCCTGGATCACAACGAAAACAACAAAAAGTCTATCAGCTTTGCTTACGAAATATAAAATGCCATTGGCTCAGTCAACAGAAGGAACAAAGCATTTCTCCCCAACTGCAAGTTTTTTAAGCTGTTTCCACAAATACTGTATCAGTTACAAAAAAAAAAAAAAAAATTATTATGTTTGAAAGTATTGCTTTGAAATGAATAAAGTGAAATTTTTTATCAGGAAGCTACTGCAGGGGAAAATTGATCCATTTCTCCACTTTGGGTTTATTTCCCAGCTTCAGAATAAAATCTGGTAAATAGCTGACAGCTTTACAAAAGAAGGCACAGCATCCTTCTTTACCAGCATGACCTGGGACCTGAAACAAAATAACATATTCAAATCCCAGGCATGGATGCACCATCTCCTGTGCTTACCTTCACTGGCCTTTCAGCGCCTCCCATGCCCAACAGCTCAGCACCAGGACTCAGTTAATAACTAAGCCCTTGGGAGCCAGAAACCAGGCTTGTTTTTGCAGTGGATTTGGGAAAATAAACATGCTTCGGGCAAATCCAGCCACACCAGCTTCCCACATGCCAGTCCAGAAAGCAGTAGGCATGAAAACATGGCATAGGCTTTGGTGAGGCTGAGCCAACACGTGTGGAAGCTCAGACTGCTGCCGCTTGTATCTTGACTGTTGTTGCCCAATGCTACACGTGTGACACAACCCAGCTCCCGGCTCGCGGAGCCAGACTTGAAGGAACAAACATACCTTGTCACATTCCCCATCCCAGCACCGGCATGGGGCCAGCCCTCGCAGCTCAAGTTGTGTTTTTCCTTTTCCATGGGACCAGCCCCAGGACATAAACCTGAAGAAGAGATGACGTATGGCTGGAGTCTGCTCCTTGCGGTGACATCACCTCCTCGGGGAACTTGTTCCTCTACAAATCCCAATCCAGACTGGAGCTGAGCTCTCCCCCAGTCACCCCGAGGGAATCCGCCCACTGGATCAACAGGAGGTGGAGGGTGGGAGAACATATAAAGCTCCTTGGGAGCAGCAATCCTTTACTGTCCGAGCTGAACGGATCTGCTCTCAGCATGAAGACACTTCTGTTTGGGCTCCTGCTTGGCCTGGCATACGTGGAGTTGGGTAAGACCGCTTTATTCCTGACACCCCCTGGGAAATACCTGGGAGGGTAAGGGAAAGGCATCAATGCAGAAAGACCTGGTAGTCCCAGGTAGGGGAAATAATGCGTTTATGTATTTAAGAAGGTCAATGGAGAGGGTGAATGGAGAAGGGGGATATGCATTCCTGGCGGGGAGAGCCATGGCGCCTGACTGAGAGCAATGCACATCGTTGGGACGCAGAAGTGGTCGCCTGTCACCCCACCCTGCTCACACCATCCCCTGGGATGGAGGGGACCCACACGCTGCTTTATCAGACTAAGGTGTAAATGACAGCCACATGGCCCAGGGCAGTACAAGCATAGCCCAGAACTGGAACCGACAGCCTCTACTTAAGCTGCCAACCTGTCCCCTCAGAGACGGGATGGGGTATGTTCATCCTGAGCTCCTGTCATCCCTGAAACCTCCCGGCTGGCTGCTAGAACTGTTGAAAACCAGAGGGCAAGGCTGGGTGAGAATATGAGAAATAACTCCAAGGACTTTGGCAAGATTCATTAAACCACCAGCTCCAGGGTTTTCACTTATTTTAGAGAATAAGAGATAGGTGGAGAATGGAAATTCCCCTGGATCTGTTTGGGTTTGGTCTCTGATGGGTCTGGATCTTGGGCAAGCTGGCAGCAGGGTCTGGTCTTCACTGTGTTCTTTATCTATTTGTGACCCACTGCAAATACATCCTTGGCCTGGAACAGAGTCATCCTTGGGATGACACCAACCCAGTGGTTTTTAACCTACAGCCCATGGGCCCCAGAGATCCTCAGGCTGTTTTCATAGGACTCTGAAGATCCTCAGGCTGTTTTCATAGGACTCTGAAAGATCTCAAAGGAAAGGCAGCCTGGGCAAGGGTCAAACACCTCCATCTGGAAGCATGGCTACGTGGAGATCATTCAGAGGGTTTCAAGTGGAAGAAGGCTGAAAGGCACTCACCCTGCAAATCTTTAAACATGGAAGTGAGTTGGGTCTCTTCTTCAGGCTGCACTGTTGGGGTTTTTTAACTCCCTTACCTTCATTCCTTCTTCCATCTATCTCTAAAGCAAACTCAACTGCTTGCTGAGGGACATGCTTTGGGTTAAACCCACCACAGGACTGAACCGGGACAGGTGCAGTTATTTTTAAAGAGCTGCTGCAATTTTTTTACATTTCAGTACCTGCTGCTTTGTTTTGTTTTGTTCTGTTTCTTCATTTCTTTCAAGGTATTTCACAGGTGGTGTATTAGGAGTTTCTTTTCCTTTTTCTGGGTCTAGGACTTAATGGGGTCTAGGACTTAATGGGGTCTAAGACTTCTTCTGTCTTGGACTTAATGGGGTTTCTGAGGAACTGACAGAGCAGGCTTCCACCCTTGGGTCTCAAAGTGCTTTATGGAAACCGAGAGACATGACTGCCCTTTTCTTTATAGTTGAAATGGAGGCAGAAATGGCTTTTCTGGGATGATCCAGTGAGAGGCAGCTGGTCTCAGCACAGCTCTTGCAGCTGAGGAATATGTTTGTGACCATTCATCTTCCAGAGATTCGATATCAAGGCGTAGAAAGTATTGTTGGACAGTGATGAACGCTGAATCATTAGCCTCAGATCAGGACAGAGCACTGTCCTCTATGTTCAGTACTTCTGTTCTGGTCCTTATGGGTTTGGGTTTTCCTCTTCCACTTGTTACAAAACCAGTGTCCTCAAAGTGTCCCACCCAGAGTCAGTGAAAGATAAGGGCAGATGAGGGTTTTCTTCCTTAAACCTGCTCTTAACTGGAAGTAACTTCCTCAGAGCCCATGGCACTGCCCTGCTCACCTATGAAAATGGTGAGGTTTGGAAACCAGCTCAACCCAAAAGTTGCAAATTGGTTTCTCAGATGCTTAAGCTGGCACTGCTCCAGCTATACATTAGCCAGTCCTTCATGCTCACAAAATCCATGTGCTTGTCAGGTTGACTATCTGTTTTCTCCCTTGGTGAGAACTACATGTTAAAATCCAAAACAACCTCTCATGGGTCATTTGGAAGGGATCTACTGAGGTCCTCAGCTCCGGTGAAGAGGGACAGCTCCACCACATCTGTTTACAAAGGATATGGCCACAAGAACACCACCACTGCTCACATTAAAAAGTCCTTCTCGCCTCTGCAAAGAGGACAAAGAATGTTTTTGCATCACGTAGGCTCTATCACACATCTGAATTTTCCAAAGGAGGTGTTAAGAGAAGTAGATGCCTTGAAAATTCTTTCTAGAGGCAGGTGTTCAAACAACTGTTTTCAAAATAGTTTCTCCTTATCACGAAGTCCCAGAGGTTTCTCTCTAACATCAAACAGCTGATGCTGCAGAACTTAGAAAACATTGTCTCTCTGCAATTTTACCAATAGATGGCAGTGAACACATTTGGGTGGTTCTCAGCTGCGTTGGTCGAAGGCGGGTAGGATAGAAAATCTCAAATCACAGTGGTTTCTGTCATCAAGCCACACCAGCACTCATCCAAAAGATATGCACGCTCGGTATCTGCCAGCTGCGGGTGGACCATCTCATACCGAGACTTTTGAGCGACCGCTGTGATCAGTGCTTGCATATGTAAAGGTGTCCCTCTGTCGACAGGCAGCCAGCAAGAGCTTTACAGCATCATCTCTTTTAAAAAGCAGCAGTAGCCCCTGATAAAAGTGTTTTTTAGGCCACATTCAGCCCTTAGGAACTCTGATAAAGCTCTGAAATTTAAATTCTGCTCTCAGTTACTAAGTTCTGCGGAAATCCCTCTACCTGAGCATGAAGGAGCTGTCACTGCAGGTGGAGGGACAGGGGAACTGCCAGTCTTTCAGTGCTGGTGAATGCTGATCTCAACAAAATGAGCTATTTTGCTCCATGTTACAGCATTTCTTACAGAGATTGAAAAATTCCTATCAAAGTTGCTCAAGCCATAGATCCCTCTAGATCCCTGTCCTTTTTGGGCTGCTGAGATCCCAAAGTAGTGATCATGCCCAACTCCCTACAAAGCCATCCTCATCTTTTGGTGCTTGGGTTTGGTCTTTTCCCCTGACATATCTAAGCTTTGCCATTGCCTCCAGATGTGCTTAGATTCTGAGACCACTGCCTCTTGATCAAGGGGCGATGAAGCACTGACCATCACATAGTCCCACCACAGAGCAGAGAAGCTGCAGGCTTGCCTTCTGTCTTCATTGCTGTAACCACCTCAGACACATTCCGTTTCTCTCTGCAGCCCAGTCCTTACGATGTTACACGTGCAAGGAACCAACGGACATTGATAAATGCAGAACAGCCACCCTGTGCCCCCCGAAATCCACCGTGTGCACAACAACACTGCACTCCTTAGAGACAGGTAGGTTTTGTTGCTTGATGTGTGCGCTCGTGGAGAGAGATCACAGAAGCACAGAACGGTTTGAGAATGGTTGGAAGGGATCTTAAAGATCATCTAGCCCAACCCCTCTGCTGTGGGCAGGGACACCTTCCACCAGACCAGGTTGCTCAAAGCCCCGTCCAACCTGGCCTTGAACCCTTCCAGGGAGGGGGCAACCACAGCTTCTCTGGGCAACCTGTCCCAGTGTCTCACCACCCTCACAGCAAAGAATTTCTTTCTAATATCTAATCTAAATCTATCCTTTTTCAGTTTAAAACCGTTACCCCTCATCCTATCCCTACACCCCCTGAGAAAGAGTCCTTCTCCAGCTTTCCTGTAACCCCCTTTAAGTACTGGAAAGCCTCTCGGCAGTCTCCCTGGAGCCTTCTCTTCTCCAGGCTGAACAACCACAACTCTCTCAGCCTGGCCTCACAGGAGAGGTCCTCCAGACCCCCAGTCATCTTTGTGGCCTCCTCTGGACCTGCTCAAACAGGTCCATGTCTTTCTTCTACCGAGGACTCCAGAACTGGACACAGCACTGCAGGTGGGCTCTCATGAGAGCAGAGTAGAGGGGTAGAATCACCTCCCCCAATTTTCTGGCCATGCTTCCCTCTCCCGCTACCCATCCCAGCTTGGATTATCTTTTAATTTCTCTGTAAGAATCCAGGTGGAGTTACACAACTTTAGAGTGGGGAAGAGAGAAATACATCGGATTCAGAGACTCATAGTCAGGTATACACTCACTCTGCTTACTCTGCTTACTCAGGCTCTTTTGCTTTTACTACCCCTATACCCTTACAGCCCCCGAATCTATAGATGTGTGCAAATTCCCTCCTTGTTTGTAGACACTCTCACCTAACACCGTCTCATCAGTGACCATGCCAGCATTACACCAGTACTTCTTAGCACTGCCAACTTCTACGCAGAGTCATTGCAGGAGCAACTCACCTGAACAAAACAGACAGGGACTTGTGTGCCTTGTCCACACTAGAATAAATTTGGAAGGAGCAAGAGGGACAGAGGGAATCAGCAGGGAGAACTGGCAAACCTGTTTCTACAAAGAGCCATGTGGATTAGAGATGCTCAACATTTTATTTGCTTTTACCCATAAACAGTTTACTTTTAATTCTCCTCCATTGCACAAAGTCAGTGTTTCTTCATGTCAGCTGTCTGTACCTTCCTTTACCGTTTCTTTCTCTCTCTTACCCTTCTCCCCCTCTCCAATCTGCCTGTTTCAGGTTACCCCTTTTTTGGCAACATCACTGTGACTAGAAGCTGTGAGGAGGAATGCCTCTCCTATGATGGGATAGGAGCAACCAGACCCAAGTCATGCTGCTACACCGACCTCTGCACTGACGACACCAGGAGCAGCAATGGGGTGAGAAGCAGCTCTGCAGCACTGGGTCTGATGGCCATGGCTGTTGGCACATTCCTCCAGTGTGCTCTGTAATATCACCAGTGCCCATGCTCCAGCCAAAACACCCCCCACTCCTCTCTGCCAGGCTGCCTTGTGAATTCTCAGATGCCTTAGGAATAACCTTATCTGCTGATATGTGGCTCCACCCGTCTTTGATGTCATGAATTCAAGTGGATTCAAGCCATGAGTCGGGGCACCTGGATATAAAACCCTCAAATTTCCAGTTCCCAGCTGCTAATATTCCTCACCTTCAGCTGCTTCTGCTCCTCAGGACTAAAATCTCCCCCTATGGCTTTCCTCTGTGGGCAGCAGCAGTGGATGAAGTGCTGCAGGTCTGCGCAGCAGGAGGGACTGGGCAGTGCCATCAAGGCTGGTGTCATCCTCAGATGGATCTCGGAGGAGCTCTATGCACATCAGACATGGACAGCGCTTTTTTTCCCAGGTGTCCCCAAGCTCCCACACAACCTGTGCCTGTGTGTCTCTATTAAATCCCAGTGCACAACCCTCCAAAACTCCCGCAACACTCCACCAGGAGCTTGGCTTATTGTCTTTCCACTTCTGGTGACATCTCCTGAGTCAGAGCAGCAGATGGATATTGGTCCCCACTTACTACCTGCTCAGCAGAGTGTGGCTTGCAATTGCAGAGAGCTGGCATAGAATTCGGTCTAGAATAAGCTGTGAAATGAATTCAGAAGGGCTCAGTCTTTATGGGTTGAGATGGGAAGTATTTCTGGAAAGCTCAAAACACACCCTGGGCTAACAGACCAGGGCAGGTTAGACCTGCAAAAGAAAACTGGGGAGTTTGGCTAGCCAAAACCCTCAGCAACCCTTTGTCTGAGCTCAGGTTGCTATCAGAGCTCCTGGATTTCCCTTCCCAGATGTTTTACAGATCATTTCAAGCAACTTCTTCTGTTACTCTGCCTTCCCCCATCCCTTCACAGCACAGACTGCAGGAAAGGAAAAGTAACGATTATCCCAGACCCTCAACTGTAGGAAAAGTCAAGAGCTCTACTCACACAGGTTAACAGCACCACTTGGTCCCAGCTGGGGATTTACTCTGTTCTCCTTTGGAGGAGCTGTAAAGTGGATTTTGATGCCCTGTCTGCTGTAAAAAAACAGATGGAGTAGAAGCAGGTACAAATGAACCAGGCATGACCAGCTTGCAGCCCTCTCTGGTGGAGGAAATCCAGGGAACTTGACATTTGCTCTGTTCCTATTGCCAGAGCTCATCCAGGGGAGCAGGAGGCAACCTGCAAAAGCAAAGGCAGAGTGGAGCATGGGTACATCCCATGCACCATCCTCGAGTGTTCATGCCATTCCTACAACTTCCTTTGTGGCAATGTCTATTTTTTTTTCCATTTTTTTTTTTCCCCCCTCCATTTTTTTTCCATTTTTCACTCTGTTTCTATAAAACACCAGCCAGGAAACCAAAAGAATAAGGTGGGGGGCTCTTTTACTTCAATGCACAAAGGTAATTGTTTCTCCAGGTCTGTAACAGTACCATTTGCAAGAAAACTTTGACAAGGCATTGCATTCCTTGGCAGAGGGCCCTGTGCAAGCCTGGGGCTCATGAGGATGATGAGCCCCTTTGTTCTGGAGGTGAAGCACTCTCTGCTGCACTAAAATATTTCCAGCTTCCCTGAAGCACCCTTGCAAAGCTGAGATCTACGGGGGGGGGGGGGGGGGGGGGGAAATGCCATTGAGAGGACAATGATTGGGAATTACACAAATACTGATATTACACCTACCCTTGTAGGCACAGAGCACCAGCTTCTGTTTCCTACTTGTCTGTTCTCCATTTCTCTGCTGCAAAACCAGCCTGACGTGTCAGGCCAGAAGCAAACCACCATCACTGCCATCCTTAGATCAGATTCCCTTTTCTATACTGGGTTCAAGCTTTGCAGTAAATCACTGTCCCCAGTGGCCTTTCCATTCTGGCTGCAGGTTCCTGTGCTGTGCTGACGTGGGCTGAACTTCCCTCCATCTATTGCACACACAGGTGGGGCAGGGTCTGGATACAGAGGGACTGGGAGGGTGAGGGTTCCCTTTTGAGCGAGAATCTAGCAAATAAAGTTGGATCCTCCAGTTTTCAGCCTGCATCATCTTTCTTGCGTGCTCAGCCTTTGCCCAGGAAGGGAGAGTGGGGCAGCACGGGCTGCAGGGAGGGCATGTCTCTGGCTCATTATGCAGCTCCCAAACTTCCCTGTGCCAGAGAGGGGAAGAGCTACAGAAGGGGACAAGCAATGGAATTAAAAAATTCTCCTTAGAAGAGCTACATTTAAGGCTATCCGCACAGGAAGAGGAGGGGGAGAAGGGTGGCAGAAGTGTAAAATACTGCCCAGCAGCTACAGGAGGCTCATGTGGGGCATGCACAGAGAGAACTGGGGGTTTTATTACTGCAGCTTCTCTTGCAGCAAGCAAAGAGAAAGCAGCTGAGCTCAGCACAGCAAGGCAAGCAGGCAGCTGGGAGTAACAATTAGGGGTCCACTCTGTGCTGCAGAGATGCGGCGGGGGGGGACCGCTGCTCTCCTTGTGTTCCTGGTGCTGGCTGTGAGCATCCTGCATCACACTGTGCTTGCAGGTCTCCTGTCACCTGGGACTTGTCTGCTGATGTGTCTCCATTGCCAGAGCAGCGAGCTTCTACTGTAGCCAGAACAGAGTCAAAGGCAGGGTTCAGCTTCACAGCACTTGTAATCTGTTCCTAGATTAGGCGAGGTGAAAAACCCCTTCAGAGTGTCAGGGGAACAAAATGTCTTCCTGCATTAATATTCATCTGTTCACACAGTGTTAGCCATAAGCCACAGGCTGAACAGTCGTCACCGGGAGCCCTTGCAAAGTTTGATTTGCTGCTGCTTTGGTTATTGCTTTTATTTAATCTTGCTATTTGGTCCCTAGGAGTTAAACCCATCAAGCACTACTGCCCCAGCAAATGCAGGACACTGCTAGGGAATTCAAAGTAGTTGGCAGAGTTTTGCGTCACTGGGTCAAGTGGACATACAGAGGGAGAAGTTTAAATATAGGCTGAATAAAATAGAACAGAGAAAGATGTGTCTCCAAAGGGGCACAAAAAGACTTGCAGCCTCTCGTCCCTGCAAGATGAGGCTTTGCAGCAGGCGGCATCCAGCAATGCTGTTGCTGTATTGAAGGATTTTACCTGCCCCTCTGGGGCTTGTTCTTCCCAGCAGTCATTCCGTGCACATCCAGAGTCTTTATCTCCAGATTCGAGGGCTCTCCTCGGTGCCTTACGCAGGAATTTGCCTTTTCCATCACCTCCCAGCCCTTCTGCAGATGTGGGGCAGCTCTACAGACGTGCAGCCTTGATCTGCATCACCCGCTTGCAGTTGCAAATCTACCAACGCTTTCATCCATCTAGAAATTGAGGAGCAAAGCATGACAGAGACTAAACTTTCAGGAAGGTGTTTACAGGCGCACATTGATGAGAATATTCAGACCCTCTTGACTCCCACCTCCAGCCAACCGTCACGGCAATTTATCTGCCTTGAGTGGTCTTTCCTCGTGGGTTCCACGAGCCTTGAAGGTGGAGTGGATGTTCCGAACAGTAGTTCCTCCTCTGGAAACATGGTGCACAACCAGGCTTGGCTTGGGCTGGATCAGGACCCGGGTTCAATCCTGCTGCTCTGACTTGGGCAAGATTCCCTCAAAGACATCACAGATGCTGTGGGAGAGTAAAGCTACACAAAGAGTATGATTAATACTTAGAGGATCAGGGTTTCCAGCAGGGATCATTTGCAGCTGCTTTCCACAGCAGGACACTGGTCACATCATGTGTAACCACGAGTGGTGGTACTTATCCTGATATGCCCTGATTGCAGGCTGGCTCAAACGGCACAGTGGGAAATACCAGGAGCTGTTTTGCCGCTTGATTTCTTTTAATTTTATATATTTGATCTTCTTTAGGAGGGAGAGGGGGTAAGGAAAACATACAGCCCTCTTGGTAGGTGCATTAATCCAGGTGGGCATGAAAGAAAAAGAAACAAGGACAGAAATTATTGTAACAGTCCAAGAGAAGAAAAAAGAAAGGAATATTTTTTCAGTCCAGACATTTAATGTAAAACAGAGCTCTGATGTAATCAAATATAGAAAGAACTTGTAGTTCTGGTTAAAAATACTTATCTAGTATATAAATATACATTAGCATATAGCTGCAAGGCTTATGGAGATATCTGACACAGTCTTATATTTACAGATAGGGATTTAAATGTTTAATATTGCACATTCAAAAGAAAGTCACTTCATTTGAAGTAGGTATTAATTATAGAATGTACTTGGCAGGACTGAAGTGCAGCAGGAGTGATATCATTTTCGATATCACTCCCAAATTACTTCTCATCTAAAACCTATCATGTTCACTTTTTTTTTTTCTTCTTAAAATAGATCTATTTTTCCGTATTAGGCCTTGCATGACTTGGAATGGCTGTTGCTGACATGCCCCAACACATCCTCTCTTGGATATCTTAATTGCTCTCCTGCATGACTCTCACATCCCTAGTTCCAGACGAGCACAGATCCGAAGCCTCCTTGTTCAGTATGACCCCAAGTCTGAGAACAAGACAAATCCCCTAAAAATTAGGTGAAAGGAAACATCAGGGTTTCTGAAGAAGATATGCTGAGGGGGCAGGGAGGCAAGAACAGCACCATGGTTGGTATCTCAATTTAGCAAAGTCATTTAGGGTCACCCAAACTCGAGAAGGATGCTCAGAGTAAAAGCATGGGACAGATGGCCTATGTGTTCATTAACTGCCTTCACCTCCATTCCTGGGGGCTCCAGTCTACAGTTTGCCACAAGGATTTAAAAAACACAAGGTGTGTCAGTTAATCACTCTGTGCCCTGTCTGAGGCTGGTCTGGATCCTGATCCCCTTTCCCCAGTCAGCCCCTATTAAACAGACAGGAATTGTCACACATCAGTAGCACCAGGCACTGTCCTGCAACACATCTTTAGTGCTGACTAAGCTTTAAGTTTCTGAATACACTCGGTAAATGTAGGTAAGGACATTGTACCTTGGGGTGAACCAGTTTTGCACTAGTCCATTGTGGGCATATTACTGAAAACCATACAGATCCAGAATGGTAAAGACAATGGAAAGCCATAACATATGAACTCCACAGGTCAGAGTCCCAAAAACATAACTCAGGCATCTGAACAAAACCACTCCAAGCTCTCCTTGGCCAGCAGGTGTCTGAATACAAGGGGTGAATATGTTTTTCATGTCTTCAGGTCATTCCTCCCCATTGTAAGAGCTATTTGATGTGCCCTCAGTCACATCAGTGATGGCACACCGCTACTGAAGTGTTGTCTGACTCATGCTTAACTCACAGCCTTGTCCTGGGCTCACCAGTGTTTGGAGCTGATCATCTAATTCCAACCCCCCTGCCATGGGCAGGGACACCTTCCACCAGCCCAGGGGGCTCCCAGCCCCGTCCAACCTGGCCTTGAACCCTTCCAGGGAGGGGGCAGCCACAGCTTCTCTGAGTACCCCTGGGCCAGTGTCTCACCACCCTCATAGTGAAGAATTTCTTTCTAATATCTAATCTAAATCTATCCTCTTTCAGTTTAAAACCATTACCCCTCATCCTATCCCTACGACCCCTGATCCAGAGTCCCTCCCCACCTTTCCTGTCCCCCCTTTAAGCCCTGGGAGGCCGCTCGAAGGTCCCCCCAGATCCTTCTCTTCTCCAGCAGGCTGAACCACCCCAACTCTCTCAGCCTGTGTCCATAGGAGAGGTGCTCCTGATCATCTTCATGGCCTCCTTTGGACCCACTCCAAGAGGTCCCCATCCTTCTGATGTTGGTGGCCCCAGAGCTGGACACAGCACTGCAGGGGTGGTCTCACAAGAGTGGAGTAGAGGTGGAGAATCACCTCCCTTAACCTGCTGGCCACAATTCTCATGATGCAGCCCAGGATACAGTTGGCTTTCTAGTCTGCAAGTGCTCCTATTCAGTTTTCCATCCACCAACACGCCCAAGTCCTTCTCCACAGGGCTGCTCTCCATCCACTCCTCGCCCAGCCTGTATCTGTACTTGGGATTGCCCCAACCCATGTGCAGGACCTTGCACTTGGCCTTGTTGAACTTCATGAGGTTTGCATGGGCCCACCTCTCCAGCCTGTCCAGGTCCCTCCAGATAGCATTCCCTTCCCTCCAGCGTGTCACCGCACCACACAGCTTGGTGTCTCCTTGCAAAAGAAATTACTTTTGCCCAATAACCCAGAAATTAGATTTAAAAAAATGCTGGAAAAAAAAGGGATTGAGTGAAAGGTGTTCATGTCAGTGCATTTGCTTCTGCAGTACCTTTGGACTTGTGAGGAGCAGCGTGAGGATCATCTCTATTCTTGGGAGAAATTTTGCACCAACTTTGAGCCCTGCTGCTATGCACACACCTTCGCTGCTTGGCTGATTCCCCAGACGAGGCACAAACACAGACTGAAGCACAATGTTTTTTCCACTTGCCCACACGAAATCCCGGGGGCGGGTGGCACTTTGCCAGTTGAAACTCTCCGCCGGGCAGTGGCAGGATTTCAGAGGGTGGCTGTGAGGCAGAAGTCATGGGACATGCTTGCAGAGGGATGTGCCACCGCTCCCAGTAAGGAACACCAACCCACAGCAGGCAGTGGGCTCCAGGTTCCCAGTAACAGCAGGACACATTTACCAACAGCTGATGTGAGTGGCAGAACAGCAAAGCCTCATTAACAAACCGCTTTGATGTAGCTCTTCCTCATGGATCCTCTGAAGCCCTAAGAAGGGCTGAGCTGTCTTCGCTCCCAGTGAACACTTCAGTTGAGCCTTTTCTGCCTGAAGATCTGTTTTCCTGAAACACACTGGAACTTCACAAACTCTTGCCATGCAACGAATCCAAACCAGCAGCTGTTATGTTGTTACCTGTGCACTCATAAATCTGCGATCAGATGAGCCAAATCTTTGAGAAGCTAGGCTAAATACAAGCCAGAATTTGTTTTTAGTCTTTCCTGGCTGCTGCCAATCTCCTGGCTCTGGGGAAAGACGACACAAGGGAAGAGGTGTTTTTAGTGTAAAGACAGCTGTCTCTGTGTTTGGGGATGACATCCAAATCTGA